GCTTGGGGCGCGGCCGCCCCCGAGGGTCCGGGTCCCCCCCCCACCCAAGACCCCCGCTGGGACACGGCCCGTCCGTGAGGAGGCCAAATTCGCAGGAATCCAACCCAAAGCGGCAAAAGAAACGGTGTGGAAACAGGGCCCGCACCAGGAAGACCCGGATGGACTCTGGTGAGGCACCCGCAGCCTCCCTGCCACCAGCACCCCAGGGTGGCCCCCATGGTCACCATGTGCCCATGGCCACCAGCCCTCAGGGCCACACAGCACCACGGGGAGCCCCAACGTCAGGGACAACCCTGAGAACAACGAGGGGCAGCTTCCTGACCCCCCAGCACAGCAGGGTGTTAACTCTGAAGCCTACTGATGCACCATGCCACAGAAGAGAACATGAGCTGGGACAGCACATCCCTGTCAATGCTGTCCTCCCGGCACCCCCATCCCAAAGCCTCTCTCCATGTGCTACAACACATTTACAGGAGAAAGCGCGGCTCGGACACCAGCTGCCTCCTGGTCCCAGGGGCCATCAGAGGCCCCAGGGGGCCCCATGTCCCCCGTGCCCCCCGGCTCCGCAGCAGCCACGTGCGGGCAAAATTTACAGGCCCCGCGCTTTGCTCAGCCGGCCGGCGGCTCTATCGATTTTTATTTAGGGGAATAATTAAATATTTATTTTCACTTTGTTAAGCGCGGGAGGTCGAAGCCCGCCGAAAGGAGGGAAAATCGATGCCTCGGCTTGTGGCCGCTGGAGCAGCTCCCGCGCCCGCGGGGCCACCGGGGGCCGCATGCTGGGCAAAAACGAGGGGAAAATGTCATATATTCTCCCAGGCCGCCGTGTCCGCGCGGGTGGCACTTACCCCCGGCAGCGTCTTCTGCTCGTGCAGGGCGCTCTGGGCCTTGAGCGCCGAGTCCCGGGCGCAGTAGGTGAGGAAGGCGCAGCCTGCGGAGAGGCGACGCTCAGGCCCCGTGGCGGGGTCTAACTTCCCCCCTGGGCGCCCCGTCCCGCCGGCGAGGCCGGAGTGTGGCCGGCGCTTGGCCCCGGTGCCGGGGTACGGAGCCTCCCGGCCGCACTCACTGGGAAGCTCCTCGACGCAGCGTCCGAGTGGGAGCCGAACAGTTTCCCTTTGGCGGAGTAAATATTTAATGGGCAAAATCGACAGTGGTTGCGTTTTTAACATCGGCACAATTAACTCCGCCGGCCAGACTGAGTGTTAACGGCTCCCGCTTGGCGTGAGCGGCGGGACAGGGAGCCCCCGGCCCCCCCGCCGGTGCCGGTGCTCCCCAAATCCCGTCGCTTCCCTCCTTTGGGCCTCTTACTCCCCATCTGGCAGGCGGCGACATGGCCGGTGCCCGAGGGAAGTTGGGAGGCGGACGGCTCCGGGGACACCTCGGGACGAGGGCGGATGGACGGGATGGAGGGGTGCCCCGTGGCGGGCGCCGCGTGTCCCGGGTGGCGCGCGTGCCCGCGGACGCCCTACCTTTGTGCATGCCGGTGAAGCGGTCCTTGAGCACCGTGAGCTCGTAGATCTTGCCGAACTCCTCGAAGAGAGGCTTGAGGTCGCCCTCGTCCAGGTTGCGCGGGATCTGCCCCACGAAGAGCTTGATGGCGTCGTGGTCCTTCATGGCGATGGCGCCGGCCGGGTGGCTCAGCCCGTT